GTTATTGTTCACCATCACCTGGTCTTGGGTCTAGTGTTGCTCAGTGCTTAATTATTCTCTACAGGGAAGATGTTCCAAGTTTTATTTGTCACTCCAAGACCACACATTTCTAGTCCATCTCTGTGTTATGCAATACCATAAATAATCTAAAATATGCATGTTAGAATGTGTAAGACACATGTGCATCATTTAGGCATTAAGATATGCTTCACCCACCAGGGGCTGATTGATAAGCTTCTGGTGGGCAAAACATCTCTCAATAAAGATAACCAGGTGTTGCACATGTCTCATTCATGAACTTGTCAGTATTATATATCTTTAATGAATCACTTTGAAGATGGACAGCAGTTGCAAGCCTCACTTCCAGTCAGGCTTGGGGGCTGGAAGTATGCAGATCCTCTCAGATTGCCCTACCAGCTTTCCTAGCCTCTTCCATAGCATCAAACGAGTTGAAAGAAATTCTTCCGGACAACCTCAGTGACTCAGCAAAAATACAGGACCCTAGCTATGCCAGTGCCATCACTGAATGGAGGAGACTTGCTGCTCCAGCACCAACACCTAGTGCAGCACTGGCCTACAAACAATCAAGTTGGGATGGCCCTGTTGCTGAAAAGGTGCTTGCCAACATTCTTAGGGATGTAACATCAGACAGGGAGACTGCTCATCTCCAAGCTGTGAGAGCACATCACTGGGGACTTCCTGAAAAAACAGTTCCCATTTCGGCAATGGGAACACACCTCGACCCTAAGACTCTCAGTATTGCAGTGGCTCTCCACCTCACTGCCCCAATTCACACGGAATACATATAAGGGTATTTTTGACAATGTGCAAGCCGACCAATATGGTCTACATGGTCTTGACTGCTTCAGAACCAAGGGTTGGCATGCAAGACACAATGAAGTCAGTGACATCATAAAGAGAAGCTGGATGCCCAGCCAAGAGAGAGCCCCGATCACTAGCAGCTAACAATACTTACAACCCAGCAAACTGCCCTGATGTAATCACCATCTGTCCTTGGAAGAATGGCACACTCTTAGCATGGGGCTATACCTGCATGTCAATGCTGGCTGACACCTACATCCATCAGTGTTGGGTGATAGGGAGGCACTGCTGATCACAGGGAGGAGTACAAGATCGGCAAGTACAGAGACATAAGCCAACAGTATCAGTTTGTCCCTACGGGATCAGAGACCTTGGGATCATGGGGAAAAAACGCCACATGCTTCCTTAAAGAACTGGATTCTAGACTCATCGACACCACCAGGGACTCGAGGGTGGCCATTTTCATGTTCCAGCACCTCAGTGTGGCCATTCAGAGGGGAAATGCTTGCTGCATACTTGGCTCGCATCCAGCTTTGGAAAAGCTGGAGGAGATTCATAATCTTTGATATAATGTACCAATGTATTCATGTTTGTATTTTTTTTTGTCAATGTTTTTTGTCTATAAATAAAGTTCACATAGAATCTAGAATATAGGGGTGGTAGGAGAAGAAAATATTCAAACAGCTCCTGAGAGAACTTTGAGTTTTCCCTGAAGTATGTTTAATTCTCTTCTCTGACATTGAGGGTCCCTAGTTCTAGGGGTGGTATCTCCCTATATTTTTTGTTTCATATATATATATATATATATATATATATATATATATATATATATATATATATATATATATATATATACAGTGGACCCCGCTTAACGATCCCCTCCAAATGCGACCAATTATGTAAGTGTATTTATGTAAGTGCTTTTGTACATGTATGTTGGGGGTTTGAAATGGACTAATCTACTTCACAATATTCCTTATGGGAAAAAATTCGGTCAGTACTGCACTGAACATACTACTGGAATGAAAAAGTTCGTTAACCGGGGTCCACTGTAAATTATATTATTATAATATTATATATATATATTATATATGATATATATTTATATATGTATATATATATATTATATATTACACACACACACACACAACACAACACACACACACAAACACACAACACATAACACACACACAACACACACACACACAACACACACACACACACAGTGGACCCCCGGTTTACGATCACCTCCCAATGCGGCCAATTATGTAAGTGTATTTATGTAAGTGCGTTTGTACGTGTATGTTTGGGGGTCTGAAATGGGCTAATCTAATTCACAATATTCCTTATGGGAACAAATTCGTTCAGTAATGGCACCTGAACATACTTCTGGAATGAAATAATATCGTAAACTGGGGGTCCACTGTAATATATTTATATACACTAATATATATATATATATATATATATATATATATATATAATATATTTATATATATATATATATAATATATGTATGTATGTATGTATATATTTATACAGTGGACCCCAGTTTACGATATTATTTCATTCGAGTATGTTCAGGTGCCAGTACTGACCGAATTTGTTCCCATAAGGAATATTGTGAATTGGATTAGTCCATTTCAGACCCCCAAACATACACATACAAACGCACTTGCATAAATACATTAATATATTGGTCGCATTAGGACGATGTAAACGGGTATGTATATATATTATATATATATATATATTTAGTTGTATATATATATATATATATATATATATATAAATGGTATAAACCTTGGTAATAAATACCGACAAGTTGGTTTAGAAAGACACGTAAGCAAACACTGACATATTTATTAGAAAACGTTTCGGTCATGGGACCTTGATCACTTCTAACATACAGAGGTAGAAAGACATTATATATAGGCGGAGAGTGAGGTGTGAGTGACGCATGGTGACATGAAGAATTCCATGTTGGGATGAGGACAGGTAGACATGAGATCATGTGACTCCTGTGTTGTTGGATTGGTGGTGCTTAGCCTGCTTAAGTATCATATATGCTAATGTTTTTGAAATTTTGTGGAACCCCCCCCCCCTTTTTTTTTTTAAATCATTGTATGAGAGACCAGTGATGTAATTAGTGTTTAATGGATGAGTTAGGAGGAAGTGTCAGCCACACTAGGACTCAAACACATACTTTTTTCATGTATTGATCTCTTGATTTGTTTAACTTAAATTGTACTTGACTTTGAGAGCACTCATTTTCCTATTGTCATTATTTCCCATCCTCCTTGGCCATCTCGATATGGACGGGGCTATTATGGCTCTGAGGGTCATTTGAAGTGTGATGTCTTCACACCTCTATCAAGACAGGTATAGCACTGAACAAGTAACGATGATTTTTTAACACATCAACAGTTTCCCATATGTGTAATGTAAACCAGAGAAATAAACACATTCACTTTCATTCATTCATTACTTGTCTTGCCGAGGGTGTGCATTTGAAATGACATTCTGAACCACAGCATTCCCACTTATTCTTCATAGTGCAAGCACAGTACTTTCCTTCCTCCAGAACTCAGTCATCTAACCAGTTTCCTTGAAACCCTACTTTTTTTTCCCATCAATTATTCTGATTAGTTTCATCTTTTATAAACCCCCGTTGCTGACGTAATTAACAAATACAGTAAGTACATTTACCTCCTCCACACAAGCACTCGTCACCTTGCTGTTTTTTTATGTTTAATCTTAGACTTCCTTCTTTTATACATCTCGCCATTCCATGCAACTTTTCTTTAGAATTTTTTCAAAACCATTGTCATTAGCAGAGTAACTGTAACTCCTACCTCATATTCTAGTCGTAATCTTTTAAGATCACACCTCTCTCCAATACTAGCATTCACTTAGTTTACAACCCCATCAATGAACATAATAAACATTGACAAATATAAAAAAAAAAACATACTTTTATGGGAAAATAGTCTTCTACTCCCTTGTATAACCTGAGCCTCACTTTCCTCATAACAGTCCTTGGCTTTTATAATCTACCACCTACTCTATACATTGGCAACACCCACTACATATCTCTTCTATCCATCCTAATGTACTGTAAACCTTTTATAAATCCTTAAATTCTTAGTCGTGCATACCCTTCCTGTCCTAAATCCTAGGTCCTCTGCAATCCTCCTGTCTTTTGCTCAACTCTTTCGATAATTATTATATACAGTGGTACCTCGGGATACGAATTTACTTCGTTCCAGAAGGCTATTCAAGTGCCAATACCGAACGAATTTGTTCCCATAAGGAATAATGTAAATTAGATTAACCCATTTCAGACCCCCAAAAATACACTTGCAAAAGCGCTTACATAAATACAGTTACATAACTGATCAAGTTTTGAGTTGTTCGTATCCCGAGGTACCACTGTACATGTAGTACATTTTACCCACTACACTCAAAATGTTTATTCCCTGTAATTCACACTCTTATGTCCTCTTCCTTTATACAGTGGTACTATGCAGTGGCAGTTTACAACACACTGGGGCACCTGGGCACCAAAGCTTTGGGGACCTTTCTTTGTCCTACGTTATAAAAAAAAATTATGGTCTTGTACCAGTACTGATTTTTTAAATACATAATCTGCAATAATTCAGTACAAAAATAAATTATGAATTAATATCATATTCTTTTTTGTGGCTGTTGGTTTTTATCAGATCATGTACTGTACTTTTTTTTTTTTTTTTTGAGTATCTCTCTCAGAACAATGCTTTACATGCACTATAGAAGTCTTTTAGCACTGCTTTGTATTGCAATGGCACTGCAGCACATTGGTATTTTAAAACTGCTTGTTTGTTTATATAGGTGTATCCTTAATGTAATGTAATACAAATGCATGCATGCCCGTTAACCCTAAAAAATTCTGCATATTGTATTGTAAACTTTTTATTAGTTAATAAAGTTTACATTTTGACTAAAAGCTATTGATTGTTAAATATTTAATTCATAATTTGATTTATGTAAGAATATTGATGATCTTGATGCTAAAGGTTACTATTGTGGTCTCTTATTTAATTCAGATAACATTTGAGAAATGCAAGAGTTAAAACATTTCCTTTATGAAACTATTGCTTACAAGTGTTTCATGTTGCATAATTTAAAATAATATTTAGGTAGCACAAGTGATGGAAGACCTTTAGACACTGACACTTCACCATCATCATCACCTCAAGAATCTCCAAACACCTTTATTAATGGCCGATCAACTGAGTCTTTGTCATCTTTGGTGTCTGATGATCCTCGGCCTCCACCAAGAAGGGTAAGAGAAACGTTGAAGTCATATCACATTGCTGTTCTCACTGGCTTATGTAGCAAAGTTTGTTGTTTCTTTCAGACTCTTCCTACATCATATAATAATAGTATTGTATAGAGTAATCTTTCTGTAATTCAGAATAGTGAGAGGATGAAGGGTGTCTGAATTACAGGTACAGTGGTACCTCAAGTTTTGAACAGCTCCCAACTTGAGCAATTATGTAAGTGTTTTTTTGTAAGTGCTTTTGTAAGTGTATTTTGGAAGGTCTGAAATGAACTAATCTAATTTACATTATTCTTTATGGGAACAAATTCGTTCGGTATCGGCACTCGAACAGCCTTCTTGAACGAATTAAGTTTATAACTCGAGGTACCACTGTATTCAGAATACAGTATCATAATACTGTATTAGTTTGAATTTTCTTTCTTATTTGGAAACAAATTCATTAGTGGAAAGGTTTTTCCAAATTAAAATTTGTTGCAAAAATGCATATCACCTTATACTATTGTCATAGATAATACTTATTCATTTTTGCAAATATATATGAATCAGCACTGCCATGTTTAGATTAATAATATTGGAGTGTAATCAATTACTGCTGTGGTACTCCACTATATTTGTATAGTATGTGTATATATGTTGTTGTTGTCGTTTGTCCATCGATTTGACGAGGACCATCTAGTCATCCTGGGGTCGAAGTTGGTGGGTACGCAGATGACTTGTCAGGCCAATCCACGCACAAAACGTTCTCTGGCAGTGTGGACAGGGAAGGGTGGCGGCATCGAGGGGTCTGATGGCTCTGGTCTTCCTCACCTGCCTGCGCTGCTCAGCTAGTGAAATTCTGCTTGCCTCGCAGGATGTTGCCCCTTTCTGGACAACTGCTCGCCAGTCATTCCTGTCCTGAGCTATCAGCTCCCACATGGTGTGGTTGATGTTGAAAGCTTTCAGAGCAGTCTTAAGGGTGTCCTTATAGTGCTTCTTTTGGCCTCCTTGAGAGCGCTTTCCATGCTGCAGTTCGCCAAACAAGAGTTTCTTTGGCAGCCAGTGGTCTGGCATGCGAGCAACGTGACCTGCCCAGCGAAGCTGTGTCTGCATTAGGATGGTGTAGATGCTAGGCAGGCCAGCTGTAGTCAGCACTTCTGTGTCTGGGATCTTATCTTGCCATTTGATGCCAAGAATTTTTCTGAGCCGTGTGGTGTGGAAGTGGTTCAACTTTCTGGTGTGACATTTGTAGACAGTCCAGGTTTCGCAGTCATAGAGAAGTGTGGTGAGGACTATGGCTAGGTACACCTTGATCTTGGTGCTTGTGGTGATGCCTCTTCGGTTCCATACATTCTTGTGGAGCCTGCCGAAGGTGGCACTGCCTTTGGCAAGTCTGGCATTCACCTCATCATCGATGACAACGTTTCTGGAAAGGGTACTGCCGAGGTAGGTGAATTTATCTACAGCGTTCAGTCGCTGCCCGTTGATGGTGATGTTTGGCTCAACATACGTCTTTCCCGGAGCAGGCTGGTGCATCACTTCAGTCTTCGTTGTACTGATTGTCAGCCTGAAGTTGTTGCAGGCGTCAGAGAACTTGTCAACACTGTGCTGCATGGCGGCTTCTGAAGCAGCGTTGAGGGCGCAGTCATCAGCAAATAGCAGGTCATTGATGGTGTCAGTTGCAGCCTTGGTTTTTGCTTGAAGCCTCCTGAGGTTGAAGACAGACCCATCTGTACGGTACCTGATGCCGATTCCTGCGTCTGTGTCCCTGAATGCGTCTGTAAGCATGGCCGAGAACATCAGGCTGAACAGGGTGGGAGTAAGCACGCAGCCTTGTCTCACTCCATTTGAGACTGGGAATGGTTTAGACGTCTCTCCGTTGTCTTGGACTCTGGCCAGCATTCCATCGTGAAGTTGGCATACGATGGCGATAAATGTCTTTGGGCAGCCATACTTTGCCATGATTCTCCAAAGGCCCTCTCTACTAACGGTGTCGAAGGCCTTGGTCAAATCGACGTAGGTGGAGTACAAGTCGGCGTTTTGTTCCTGACATTTCTCCTGTAGCTGTCTAGCAGCGAACACCATGTCGATAGTCCCGCGATCTTTCCGGAAGCCGCACTGGCTTTCAGGTAGGAGTCCTTGCTCTAGATGTTCATTGAGCCGATTGAGTAGAACTCTAGCCAGGGTTTTGCCTGCGATGGAGAGCAGGGAGATACCACAGTGGTTGTCGCATACCTGGCGGTTTCCTTTTCGTTTGTAGAGATGCACGATGGAAGCATCTTTAAAGTCCTGAGGAATATATGTATATACAGTGGACCCCCGCATAACGATTACCTCCGAATGCGACCAATTATGTAAGTGTATTTATGTAAGTGCGTTTGTACGTGTATGTTTGGGGGTCTGAAATGGACTAATCTACTTCACAATATTTCTTATGGGAACAAATTCGGTCAGTACTGGCACCTGAACATACTTCTGGAGTGAAAAAATATCGTTAACCGGGGGTCCACTGTATTATTATTTTTTATTATTATCACACTGGCCGATTCCCACCAAGGCAGGGTGGCCCGAAAAGGAAAAACTTTCACCATCATTCACTCCATCACTGTCTTGCCAGAAGGGTTTACCTGGAGTTTACCTGGAGAGAGTTCCGGGGGTCAACGCCCCCGCGGCCCGGTCTGTGACCAGGCCTCCTGGTGGATCAGAGCCTGATCAACCAGGCTGTTGCTGCTGGCTGCACGCAAACCAACGTACGAGCCACAGCCCGGGTGCTTTACACTATAGTTTTTAAACTGCAACATTAACACCCCTCCTTCAGAGTGCAGGCACTGTACTTCCCATCTCCAGGACTCAAGTCCGGCCTGCCGGTTTCCCTGAACCCCTTCATAAATGTTACTTTGCTCACACTCCAACAGCACGTCAAGTATTAAAAAACATTCGTCTCCATTCACTCCTATCAAACACGCTCACGCACGCCTGCTGGAAGTCCAAGCCCCTCGCACACAAAACCTCCTTTACCCCCTCCCTCCAACCTTTCCTAGGCCGACCCCTACCCCGCCTTCCTTCCACTACAGACTGATACACTCTTGAAGTCATTCTGTCTCTCTACATGTCCGAACCACCTCAACAACCCTTCCTCAGCCCTCTGGACAGCAGTTTTGGTAATCCCGCACCTCCTCCTAACTTCCAAACTACGAATTCTCTGCATTATATTCACACCACACATTGCCCTCAGACATGACATCTCCACTGCCTCCAGCCTTCTCCTCGCTGCAACATTCATCACCCATGCTTCACACCCATATAAGAGCATTGGTAAAACTATACTCTCATACATTCCCCTCTTTGCCTCCAAGGACAAAGTTCTTTGTCTCCACAGACTCCTAAGTGCACCACTCACCCTTTTCCCCTCATCAATTCTATGATTCACCTCATCCTTCATAGACCCATCCGCTGACACGTCCACTCCCAAATATCTGAATACATTCACCTCCTCCATACTCTCTCCCTCCAATCTGATATCCAGTCTTTCATCACCTAATCCTTTTGTTATCCCTCATAACCTTACTCTTTCCTGTATTCACTTTTAATTTTCTTCTTTTGCACACCCTACCAAATTCATCCACCAATCTCTGCAACTTCTCTTCAGAATCTCCCAAGAGCACAGTGTCATCAGCAAAGAGCAACTGTGACAACTCCCACTTTATGTGTGATTCTTTATCTTTTAACTCCATGCCTCTTGTCAAGACCCTCGCATTTACTTCTCTCACAACCCCATCTATAAATATATTAAACAACCACGGTGACATCACACATCCTTGTCTAAGGCCTACTTTTACTGGGAAATAATTTCACTCTTTCCTACACACTCTAACTTGAGCCTCACTATCCTCGTAAAAACTCTTCACTGCTTTCAGTAACCTACCTCCTACACCATACACCTGCAACATCTGCCACATTGCCCCCCCTATCCACCCTGTCATACGCCTTTTCCAAATCCATAAATGCCACAAAGACCTCTTTAGCCTTATCTAAATACTGTTCACTTATATGTTTCACTGTAAACACCTGATCCACACACCCCCTACCTTTCCTAAAGCCTCCTTGTTCATCTGCTATCCTATTCTCTGTCTTGCTCTTAATTCTTTCAATAATAACTCTACCATACACTTTACCAGGTATACTCAATAGACTTATCCCCCTATAATTTTTGCACTCTCTTTTGTCCCCTTTGCCTTTATACAAAGGAACTATGCATGCTCTCTGCCAATCCCTAGGTACCTTACCCTCTTCCATACATTTATTAAATAATTGCACCAACCACTCCAAAACTATATCCCCACCTGCTTTTAACATTTCTATCTTTATCCCATCAATCCCGGCTGCCTTACATCCTTTCATTTTACCTACCACCTCACGAACTTCCCCCACACTCACAACTGGCTCTTCCTCACTCCTACAAGATATTATTCCTCCTTGCCCTATACACGAAATCACAGCCTCCCCATCTTCATCAACATTTAACAATTCCTCAAAATATTCCCTCCATCTTCCCAATACCTCCAACTCTTCATTAAATAACTCCCCTCTCCTATTTTTAACTAACAAATCCATTTGTTCTCTAGGCTCCCTTAACTTGTTAATCTCACTCCAAAACTTTTTCTTATTTTCAACAAAATTTGTTGATAACATCTCACCCACTCTCTCATTTGCTCTCTTTTTACATTGCTTCACCACTCTCTCTTTTTCTCCATATACTCTTCCCTCCTTGCATCACTTCTACTTTGTAAAAACTTCTCATATGCTAACTTTTTCTCCCTTACTACTCTCTCTACATCATTATTTCACCAATTGCACCTCTTCCCTCCAAAAGCTGTTTATATCTTTCCCTAACTGCCTCCTCTTTTAGTTTGTAAACATTCACCTCTCTCTTCCCTGATGCTTCTATTCTCCTTGTATCCCATCTACCTTTTACTCTGTGTAGCTACAACTAAAAAGTGATCTAATATATCAGTGGCCCCTCTATAAACATGTACATCCTGAAGTCTACTCAATAGTCTTTTATCTACCAATACATAATCCAACAAACTACTGTCATTTTGCCCTACATCATATCTTGTATACTTATTTATCCTCTTTTTCTTAAAATATGTATTACCTATAACTAAACCCCTTTCTATACAAAGTTCAATCAAAGGGCTCCCATTATCATTTACACCTGGCACCCCAAACTTACCTACCACACCCTCTCTAAAAGTTTCTCCTACTTTAGCATTTAGGTCCCCTACCACAATTACTCTCTCACTTGGTTCAAAGGCTCCTATACATTCACTTAACATCTCCCAAAATCTCTCTCTCTCCTCTGCATTCCTCTTCTCCAGGTGCATACACGCTTATTATGACCCACTTCTCGCATCCAACCTTTACTTTAATCCACATAATTCTTGCATTTACACATTCATATTCTCTTTTCTCCTTCCATAACTTATCATTCAACATTACTGCTACCCCTTCCTTTGCTCTAACTCTCTCAGATACTCCAGATTTAATCCCATTTATTTCCCCCACCGAAACTCCCCTACCCCCTTCAACTTTGTTTCGCTTAGGGCCAGGACATCCAACTTCTTTTCATTCATAACATCAGCAATCATCTGTTTCTTGTCATCCGCACTACATCCACGCACATTCAAGCATCCCAGTTTTAAAAGTTTTTTTTTTTTTTTTGTTTTTTAAAAATTAAAACCCCCCCTTTCCCCCACACTTACCCCCCCCCTTACGGGGGAAAACCCACCCCCCTAAAATGAAAAATAAAAAAACAAACTATTTAAAAAAAAATAGATTTTTATTATTATAGTTTCTGTAAGGGGACCAAATGAAGAGGAGTAGAAAACCCTGAACTATGGAGACAAAAAAGAAAAACCAGCTTCCCCCCCCCACAGCAAAACTTTTTTCCCCCCTTTTTACAGCCCCCTCAGGGCGGTAGACCCCTGGGGGTTGCGTCACCACCACCCCCGAAAATTTTTAAAAAAAAAAAGCATGGCGCTGGGGATCCCCAGGTTTTTTGCCGCCCATCCCCCCTTTTGCCGCCAACCCTAAAACAACCAAAACTTAGCCAAAAACCCTTAATTTGGAAAAAAGGGTGGTTTCCCAGAAAACACCCCCCCTTTTTGGTGGTGCAGCCTCCCAGCAGTACTTATTTTTTGAACCCAAACTGGTATTTAAAAATAACAACACGGGTACCCAGAGGATCAAAAATTTTTTATTATAATCTGAAATTACCTCCTGCAAAGGGTGCCTTTTTTTATTTTTCCCACCTATAAAAATGAAAGGGGAAAAAGCCAAATTTTTCAACCAAAAAATTCGGGGGGACAGGAAAGTGTCTTGGGGTAAGTTATCCCTCTCATAAATTTTTCCCGCCTCCCCCCTCTCGGTGGTTTTTTAAAACTTCCCGGGGGCCTCAAATGTGAGTCTTTTCACGGGTGATTTACACCCTTGATGATTTTTTTTATGTTGTTGCTTTTCGGGAAGCAATTGAACTTTTTGTTCAGGGCAAGATCGGGTAAGAGTTCAGAACTTTTTAAAAGGGCCTTAATCAGTCACTTTCCGGGATTTCAGCATCTTGTACAACCTTGGCTGGCTGTGAAGGAAATAACAAAAAAAAGGGAAAGAAAGGAGACAGGGAAATTGAAAATTTTACTCTATTTCCAAACTTGAGAATTAACCCTTTTATGAAAAATTAAAAGTTTGTATCCCTGCTGCCCCATAAAATTTATTTATAAATGCAAAACAGAAAAAATTTTCCAAGATTTTTAATTTTAGAGTACTTGCATTTTGTTTGACAAACTGGTAAATACTAAAACGGGTACATAAAAATCGAATATCCACTTACATAATATGTTCTTACTTTTAATAGAAAATATACTGATTTTATTTTATTTTATGTTTCAACAGCGAGTGGGTTCAGCCCCGCGGGGAGATGTAAAGCATTAATACTGTGATGCAAAATTTAGTGATAAACTTATTTTTACTGAGGTGAAATTATTATTGTACTAAGGGCAGAAAAGGGGATGGAACTGGTGGGGGGCTGATTAAAGGCCCCAAAAAGTCGGGGGAAAGGTTCCTAAAAATTTTTTGTCCAATGTTTCTGACTAACAGGAAGCTCAAGAGTTGTGAAAAAAAAGTAGGTGGCTCAATTTAGAGTATGGAAAACATTCTTTAATAAATAATAATTACACCCCCTTGATTATTTATCATTGCCATTTTTTTTTTAAAAAAAATCCCTACAATTTGTACAATGTTTCGGCACAGAAATAAACCCAAAAAATTTTTGATTGGTAAAAAAGGACCATTTGTGAAGGTTTTTATTGTTTTGCCTGGGAAGGCTACTTCAGTAAATAAAGAACCCTGCTAAAAAGCTTTCAAAAAGTGTTTCTGAAATTGTGTTTTTTTCACTATTTGTTGGTTTTGTGTTATTTGTCCAAAAAAAATTAGGTGATTTAATTTCTACTAAATTTTAAATTTGTGTTCAAAAATCTTTAGTATTTCAAAGTGATGTAATTTTTCTCCAGTCAAACTGCAAAAAAAACTTTTAAGGATGTAGAGTTGTTTGGATGTAATTACATGGTACTGTAAATTGCATCTTAAAAGGGAATGGTTAGTCAAACAAAATTTTCCGGGTGCTTTTCTAGTTCCATTTAAATGCTTATTTTTAACTTATTTAGTGCTTTATTTTTATCTCCTTAAATGTACTCTTTTTAAACCCTATGACAAATTCCCATGTAAATTGAGAAATTTTTTATCAATTAGAGAGACTTTCTGAAAAGGGTGAAAGGACTTCCCAAACTTTTTAAAAAAAATAGTTTATTTTTTTTCTGTTATTTTGTCTTTCCTTTGTTAAAGAAAAAAAAACAATGACAAAGTAAAATGTCTCCTATGATGGGAAAACAATTAAATGTGGGGTGTAGTTCTTTCATTCATATAAATTCTTTTGAAGAGACATGAGAGGTTTTTAAACCCTTTATACTACTTTAAATCCTTTTTTTTAAAGGAAATTATTTTTTTATATTTTTTTTTTTTCCTGTGAAAATTTAAATTTTTATAAATTTTGAATTTTGTAATTTTTTTCTTTAAAATATGTTTTTTTCTTTATCATTAAATATCTAGTAACTTTATTGACTAAGCACAATGAATATCCAAAATACTTTTAAACAAACTATAAAGTTAGCTAAAAAGAATGCCATTTTTTCCCCTAAATAAAAAAAATTTGGGGTCTTTATATACTTGAAAAACCCTTTAAAGGGAAACATCCCAAAATCTTTTTAATATAGTGATACTGTCAGTAAAAATTGAAAAACATTGTGTAGGAAAAAGGTTTTATCTTTTGGTTATTTTTTCTTTCTAAATTTCTTAGTTTTTTTTTTTTTTTTTTAGCCCCCTCGGTTTTTGGTGCCATTTGAGCAAATTTTAATACAGCTCCCAAACAACACATACAGTATTTCTTTCGATTTTTTTCAAATTTTTGTTTCAGATTTTTTTTTAAGTTTATGCTAATATTTGCATGTGTGTGGTGCTGATGTGTTATTTAAGGTTTTAATGGTTAAAATACTCTTTTTGAAAAAGATTGCTACACCTCAAGTTTTAGCTCTGGTCTGGGAGGGTGCAAAAATAAATACAATTTATTTGGAAGCAAAATCGACTCCAAATTATGTTGGGTTAAAAACACACAAGACATAGCTCACCAAGGGTACGAAGAGTCAAGGGGCCCTAGACATAATGTGTTACACACATTTTTGGGTTTTATGGTGCTGAGTTTGTTGTACCATGCAGTTATGTGGGGGGAACAAAAGCGGGATGAATATAGAATAAATTGCATATATACTAAATAAATAATACTACATAAAATACACATGATGAAAATAACTACAGGGGTTTGGTTTGGTTATAAAGTAACAGTATTATAAGTTTTGTTGTCTGCTAACAGAGATGCAATCAGGTGGCCTTAGATGTAGGCAGAGTGTGGGGGTGGACTGCATTACATATATGTAAAATGAAACTGAAAGGTGCATTATTAGGCTATTTCCATTTAAAAAAGGTTAACCCTTTCCCGGATAAATTGGTGGTACAAAAGGGCCCAAATATTTAATTTAAATTGTTACGTAATTAATACCCTTTAGCCTGCCTTATACTAGTATTTGTGAAAGGCAACTTATTCCGATGCCAAATAAAGTAAAATTTAAAGGGAAAAGCCATGTTTGTTTATTGAAGGGGATTTCCTGTCTCTCCTTTTTGGTTTTTTTGCAGTCACTAAGGTGCTCAAAAATTAAAAGCTTATAAGGAAACATTTTTATAGCTAATTAGTAAACTGGGAAACGGATTGATTTTAGTGAAAGAAATATTTTTGGATAATGACTTTTCCTTGGTAACGATTTGTATTTTTACTAAAGGAAAGCATATATTTTTCTGTATTATGCAGAGTGACACAAAAAAATTACACAAAAGCTAAATTTCCCGTATATTACCCTTTTTTTTTTTAATTATTTTTTGAAATGTTAATGAATTGCATAGAATTTATGAACCCCTAAAAAATAAGATATACATTAAATAATGGGTTTCTTAAACTGTGTAAAAATTTTAATTGGGTAAATAATCATTAGTCTTTAATTATGCTAGAAATATGGCAAATGTGCAATACGAAAGAGGGCAGCCATAATTGATTTATAAATATCCCTCAGTATGAACCTTTTTAGACTGATCTAAGGGGAATACTAATTAGAAAGAGCCACGAATAAAAGGAAATTTTTAAAAAAGCAGCCATGATTTAAATTGTAACGTAAAGGCTCATGAATAACTAAGATAACTGCATAGTATTGAGTACCTATTTGATAAAAATATTGAGACTTGTAATTACTTCACATCCTGTGTTTCATTAGATAGTGATGTTAGTGCCCATTTTTTAAATTTCATCCTACCCCTTGAAGATGCCAGGTTTTAAATGTATAATCCTGTAAAAAATAAAATATTAAGTGTTATAAATTCAGAGGAATGAATGGGATTTAGAAAGCACAAACTTCAAACCCTTTCAAAATTTGCCCGTCTAAAAATTCAGACAAACTAAAAAAAATCTTATAAGTATCTTAATCAACAGGATATCATCTCATTTTTAATTACAGATCTCAACCCGGTTTACGAATCATAGATTTTTTCTCAAATAAAGCTTTTAGACTTGAAAATTTTTGTATTATATGCAAAAAAAAATGTGAGTGGTTTTTCGTCATTGTTGGGAAAAGCCCTCTTTGTTTTAAAACATGGTTCTTTAAGGTGCACAACCGGAACACTGAATCAGGGTAAAAATTTTTGACATTTACCATAAATTTTTTGTCTGAAAAGAAAAATCTGTTTTATAAGATACTTTTTTTTTTAAAAAAAGATATATGGAATATCTGATTCTTGTATGAAACCCTAAACCCTGAAAGGTATTTCTGTTTCACATTTTTTATAATATCCCGGGCTATTTTGAAAAAAAAGAAATTGATGTATGAAATGTAAAAGCCTTTTATTGTGCAATAATTTATTTTATTTCTGACAGTGAAAATTTCCCGTATTTTTGTAAATAAAATAAATATTTGTCACAAATGTCTTTTTTTTTTAAACTCCCCCTTTTCTCTACCCTAGTAACAAAAATTTTTATATATAAAAATCGTGAAACCTTTAAATAACAGGGAACTGTCACACTAACAGTCACTAAGCAAAAAAGGGTTGCTTTTTGATATGTATTAGAGTTTTGAACAAAATTTTTCCCGCATATTTTGTATATACATGATTCCCTTGAGTTTGTGGTCTTGAGTTACAATAATTTTGGTTTTAATTTTTCCCCCAAAAAGAGTTTGTTTTGAGTTGCCCCGAAAAAAATTTGAGTTCGATACATTACAATGGTTTGGGTCGTGTGGGTGGGCCTTAGCCCCGAGACAAACAGGGTGATGAAATGGATTTATGATGGGCGTTTGAGGGGCTGGGGAAGGGGGGGGGGGGGAAAAGGAGAAAGGCAGTCAGATGAGGTAGGAAGACTGTATGTACACCAATGTCGTCTGCTTGGCCACCTGACTTCTTGGGCTGCCCCGCTCATCTCTCGTCCTGCCTGTTCGCCCTTTTTCAGCCACTTTTCTGGGCAAAGCCTATGAAAGATAGGCGCACTCTGCTGTTAGGTGCAAGTGCCTCTGGAGATTTGAAGCTGAAACCTATGTTTGTTTACCAATAAGAAAACCCCCAGAGTGTTTAACCCTTAAACTGTCCAAATGTTCATACCACTGAATAATTTTTTTTTTTTTTTTTTTTTTTTTGAGTGCGTTTTTCCCTGCATCCCTGAATTTTGTCATACTGTGCACACTGAGTGCACAGACTCATTCTCTCATGTCTAGGCAACTCATGCTTATTATGCCAAGGTTGAAAGCATGTAAATAAAACATAGATCTACGATTGGAGCACTATGAACGTGAACATATTATTATTATAATAAAAAAGAAGCATTAAGCCACAAGAGCTATACAGCAACATGAACGTAGCTCTACGTTTGGACAGTTTAAGGGTTAAGAAGTATCCAAGGACAGGTTGGGTGTGCTCTGGTGTCTTAGAACGAATTACCATAAAACCATGTATTTTGGGGTTTGAGTTATGGTAGTTGAAGTACGATACATTATCTGACGAAGATTAATACTGGAACTCAAGGGACCACTGTTGAATGATTCCTTCTTTATTTTATTTTTTATTAACACATTGGTCGTTTCCCACCAAGGTAGGGTGGCCGAAAAAAAGAAAAACTTTCACCTTCATTCACTCCATGAGGTGTGCTTACACTACAGTTATAAAACTGCAACATTAACACCCCTGGAATGATTTTATATTCCTTATAACCTGGAGGGTAGGTTCTTCATGCCCAGTGGAGAGATTACATTCTTTGCTGTTTCAGCTGTACTGGGTGGGCTCTGGCTCCCTCA